TCAATGAAATGAAATAGAGAGCCAGAAATAAACCCATGATTATATGGTCAATAAACTTTGATAAAGGAGGCAACAATATGCACTGGGAAAAAGACAGTCTCTTCAACAGATAATGTTGGGAAAACTAGACAGCTACAAGCAAAAAAATGAAACTGGACCACCTTCTTACACCATACGCAAAAATAAAACTCGAAAGATTAAGGACCTTTAAATGCAAGCCTTAAACCATAAAAATCCTAAAAGAGAGCATAGGCAGTAATTTCTCTGACATTGGCTGTAGCAACATTTTTTTTTAGGTATGTCTCCTCAAGCAAGGAAAACAAAAGCAAAAATAAACTACTGAAACTACACCAAAATGAAGAGCTTCTGCACAGCAAAGGAAACAATCAACAAAACTAAAAGGCAACCTACTGAATGGGAGAAGATACTTGCAAATGACATATCCAATAAAGGGTTAGTATCCAAAATATCTAAAGAAGTTAGAAAACTCAAAACACCAAAAATTCCCAAATAATCCAATTAAAAAATGGGGAGAAGACATGAAGAGACATGTCTCCAAAGAAGACATCCAAATGGCCAACACACACATGAAAAGATGCTCAACATCACTCATCATCAGGGAAATGCAAATCAAAACTACAATGAAATATCACCTCACACCTGTCAGAATGGCTAAAATAAACAACACGAGAAGCAATAGGTGGTGACAAGGATGTGGAGAAAAAGGAATCCTTGTACACTGTCGGTGGGAATGCAAACTGATGCAGCCACTGTGGAAAACAGTATGGAGGTTTCTCAAAAAGTTAAAAATAGAACTACCAAAAGATCCAGTAATTGCTCTACTGGGTATTTACCCAAAGAATATGAAAACATTAATTCAAAAAGATACATGCACCTCTAAGTTTATTGCAGCAATGTTTACAATAGTCAAAATATGGAAGCAGCCCAGTGTCTATCCATAGATAAATGGATAAAGGAAATGTGGGGGGTGGGTACATACACATGTACACATACACAGGCACACACGTGCGCACGCACACACAAGGAATATTACTCAGCCATAAAAAAGAATGAAATCTTGCCGTGTGTAACAACATGGATGGATCTAGAGATATAATGCTAACTGAAATAAGTCAGAGAAAGACAAATACTATATTATTTCACTCATATGTGAAATTTAAGAAAGAAAACAAACAACAACAAAAACAACAGATAAACCAAAAACCAGACTCAACCATAGAGAACAAACTGATGGTTACCAGAGGGGAGATGGGTAAAACAGGTGAAGGGGGTTAAGAGTACACTTATCTTGATGAGCACTGAGTCCTGTACAGAATTGCTGAGTCACTATATTGTATACCTGAAAATGATATACTGCTGTATGTTAACTATAATGGATTTTTAAAAAAATTCATCAAATAAATATAACATTGATACAGTAAAAAAAAATTCTTATCAAATAAATACAACATTGTCACAGTAAAAAAAATTCTTATCAAATAAATATAACATGATAACAGTTGGGATACAGGGGTGGACTTGAAAATTTTTCTTGACTCCAGGTTATATATTAGGAAATAGCAGGGGGAAGGATTGATAAGAGCCAAATAACAAAAGGCCAAGAGACAAGAATTTAATTCTAATGTACTAGGCAATAACAAATTACTAACCAATTTGCAAGTAACTGAGGCTACAGTCCCCCAAATTATCCTTAACTCAAATTCTCCCCTTTTACAAATACCATTACTGTGTAGAAACTGAAGTTACAAAACCTGATTCCAAACCATAAGGAGGAGCAAACTACTAAGGAAAGTACTTACCTAAGGCTAACCAAAATAAATTTAAGAATACTTCCATCAGAACATTTAGACAAAACCACAAAACAGAAAAGTACTACTATTTCTTATAAATATATAGAAGGAAGAACGTGGGTAAACTAGAAAACAGGTGAAGTTCTAAGGGGATTACAACTTATTCTTAATATTTTGGTTACAAAATCTTGAAGCAAATAAAACAGAATTATAACTGGATGGTGGATATATAAATCTTGTTTTATAATTCCCTGCTATTTTGTCTATTTTAAAAACTTCCCAAAATTAAAAAATGGGAATAGGTTGTGGTCTTGAGGAAAGTTTGTTTTTTTATTTTTA